TTATAACTCGAGGCCTAATCGTCGCCTGTCAGCATAACTCTTCCAGCGACTCTACATGGTTTGCACCCAACCATGCACCTACTGTATCATCTCAGTAGTCTTGAGTAATACCTCGATACTCCCCATAACTCGATGCCCGAGCTCGCCCTAACAAACTAGGGTCTGACATCTCCTCCCGTAAAGCATCTCGAATGGTGGTCGATCGATACAAGCATGGTAACTATTGTTGTAGGAGATCTCGATCAGTGGAAGATATATATCCCAACTCCAGCTAAAATCTAGCACACACACCCTGTGCATATCTTCAAGTGTTTGAATCGTCCGATCACTCTATCTATAGGTCTGGGGGTGGTATGTTGTACTGAAAGATAGTTGAGTACCTAACTCATGAGATTTCCTCATGAACCTGGAGGTGAAGTGAACATCACGATCCGAATATGGCACCCCATGCTGAGCCATCACCTCCCGAATATAGTTTCCAGCCATTTTTTCGGCGGAAATGCTATCAGCAACATGTATGAAATAAGCATTATATAGGGCAAATTTGGCCCTTGCCACGTCGTGGGATCCTTTTTCCACGTCGTGGGCTTGATCGTCACTGCATGCGTCATCCCAAGTTGCATCTGGGGGACTCCCGGAGCTGTCAGGAGATTTGCCACGTCGTGGTCTCTGACAGTTTTGGGGTTTCGCGCCCCGAACTTCAGAAATTCATAACTTTCGCATACGAACTCCGTTTTCGACGTTCTTTATATCGACGTGAAGGTGAGATTATGCTCTACAACTCTCCTTTAGAATCCATTGGCTAATTTTGACTTTATTTTTAATATATTATAAGTATATTACTTATATATTATCTATAGTAGGCCGGCACAGGAAAACTCCGTTCGAAATTCATAACTCCTTCATCTGAACTCCGTTTTCGTCTATCTTTTTATCATTGAACTACTATTAAATAAATCTTCAACTCTTGTTTAGATCACTAAGGATAGATATCTATCTACCTTAAGTTCACTATTTACGCCGCGCTAGGTCGTGCCGGTTCTGTCGCGAAACTTCGACATGTCATAACTTCTTCGTTATAACTCGGATTTTGGCGTTCTCTATATGCACGGAAACCTTGTGACATATACTACGACTTGGTTAAGATTAATCCTTCTAAATAGTCTTCCATCAAAAAGTCATTTTTGATGCTTATCATCTCTAAATTGACTAGCCCGGATCTACGGGCGTTACAGTATATAATGATGATTAGATGAATTCCTGCGTGTTGCACAGCGTAGGTTAAAACTATATTGTTAAAATGTTGAAAAACATATGTTTAAAATGGTTATGTTATTGACATTAACTTTGACATAATATTTTGAACAATATTATTCATTGACATCAACACACCTTCCTCGTTAATAAAATTAAATATAATTATCTATTTAATATTATTTTTAACAATTGTTATGATTGATTAATTTATAATTTTAATTATCCATTTTTTTAATTTCAATAATGATGTTCATTTAAAATACAATTTATTTGTTGTTAACGTTAAATAATTTATAAATTGATGTTATTATCATTTAAAATTATTGTTCTTTAGTTTTAAACCACTTATTATTACTAATAAGTTAAAAAATACTTTTAAGAAACACTTAATATTGCTATTAAAATGTGAAACATACATTAAATAATAAACCAATAAGATGGACAATTTGTATTTCAAAAAAGATTTTCATGAATAATATGACATACCATGATTTTTATAATTTGATTTTATTATTTATAATTATTATTTGTTAATTTTAAAACCACTTACTATCATTAATAAGTGAAAAAAGAAAATTTAAAAAGAATTTATTATTATACTTAAAATGTTAAACATATACTAAAATATAAAGTGATAAGATAAACAATTTGTATTGTAAAAGAAACTTGTATGGATAATATGAATAATATGACATAACCATGATTTTTGATTAATTATTGCTTTAAAATAACACAAACATACAAACATATATACAATATTTAATAAATATTATCTATATAAATTCCATAACATATGATCGATAACATAAATCTAATCTAATTTATATGAAAATTTGAACCACAACATACAATAATTATCTTAAAAGAATAGTTAAACCAAGAAAAAAAATGAATTAATATGTAACAAACTTACAAATTAAAAACTTTAATATAATAGCATGGCCTGAAAAAATGGTCAAAAGCCTTCAAACCAACACAAAAACATTTAAATTTATTACTTTGTGAATTTAAATATGATTGGTATTTATATGTCTCCGTATAGAGAATGTTATTTTTATAGTAGACTCTCCATTAATTGTTTATTAAACATATTATATAAGTTATAAAGCTTTTCTTGACTTGTGATTAATTACTTTGATGGTGAAAAGATATGGGATTTCAAATGAATGAGATACTTGAGAATTGAAAATTCAGGAGATTTCAAATACTTGAAGTGATAGAAAAAATACCTCTTTTATAAGTATAGTATGATATAGATATACAAATGATTGATGTTTCCCTACTTAACTATTTGTTTTTTATTTTTAACCCAATTAACATCAATATTGTATTAAAAAACAAAAATGGAAGCAACATCAGATTTTTAGTTGTCAATTTCTCTTAAAACCCGTATTTTGGTCTTTTTAAAAAGAGTAAATTACTGAAATCGTCTCTATGGTTTGGTCAAAATTACACGTTTGGTCCCTAACTTTTTGCACTCGGATTGTCCTTATAGTTAGATTTTGTTGCATTTTTAGTCCCTGTGGTTTGATTTTGTTGCGTTTTTCATCCCTTATATACATAAAGTTAAAGACCAAACGTGTAATTTTGACCAAACCATAGGGACGAAAAACGCAACAAAATCAAACCATAGGGACGATCCGAATGCAAAAAAAAAAGTTAGGGACCAAACATGTAATTTTTACCAAACCATAGGGATGATTTCAGTAATTTACTCTTTTTAAAAAGACCAAAATACGGGTTTTAAGAGAAATTGACAACTAAAAATCTGATGTTGCTTCCATTTTTGTTTTTTAATACAACATTGATGTTAATTGGGTTAAAAATAAAAAACAAATAGTTAAGTAGGGAAAAATCAATCATTTTTATATCTATATCATACTATACTTATAAAAGAGGTATTTTTTCTATCACTTCAAGTATTTGAAATCTCCTGAATTTTCAATTCTCAAGTATCTCATTCATTTGAAATCCTATATCTTTTCACCATCAAAGTAATTAATCACAAGTCAAGAAAAACTTTATAACTTATATAATATGTTTAATAAACAATTAATGGAGAGTCTACTATAAAAATAATATTCTCTATACGGAGACATATAAATACCAATCATATTTAAATTCACAAAGTAACAAATTTAAAGGTTTTTGTGTTGGTTTGAAGGCTTTTGACCATTTTTTCAGGCCATGCTATTATATTAAAGTTTTTAATTTGTAAGTTTGTTACATATTAATTCCTTTTTTTTCTTGGTTTAACTATTCTTTTAAGATAATCATTGTATGTTGTGGTTCAAATTTTCATATAAATTAGATTAGATTTATGTTATCGATCATATGTTATGGAATTTATATAGATAATATTTATTAAATAGTGTATATATGTTTGTATGTTTGTGTTATTTTAAAGCAATATTTAATCAAAAATCATGTAATTTTTACCAAACCATAGGGACGATTTCAGTAATTTACTCTTTTAAAATTGTTAAATATTAATATAAAAGTTTTTCTAAACATAAAAATAATATAAGGATTTTTATGTATATACATATATAATAATTGATTGTGTTTTTCTCCCCTTCACAGTTAGGAATAAAGTACCTTACAAAAAAAAATTGCATCGTCACTCATTGCAACTCAAAAAATATAAACATAAAAAGAAGAAAACTTAGTAATGTAAAATCTTTCTTAAAATAAATAGGGTAACTTGAAAAGCATGAGATAAGAAAGAACGAAGAAAATCAATCTTCCTCTCACCCTCGTTTTCAGCAATGTTGAAGTAGTGTAACTCGTAAACATTGCGGTCTTTGTTTGAAGCAATCACACGAAGCCAATCCCTCACATTGTGCTTCTTCAAGTACTTCTTTGTCAGGTACTTCATACACCTGCTCAAAAAACCAACCAACGTATATATAACAAAAAAAAAACTACTATTTACAAAAACTCATTATTTATATTTTATAACCATTAACTCTTAAACCAAAACAACAACACAAAAGTGCAATCATTCTCTCCAGATTATGTGTGGACCAGAATTAGATTATACAACTGTAGTATAATCATTCCTCGAACCAATCAAATGGAATGGCTATATCCGTTTACTTCCAGTTTTGGATCAATAAACCTTTTAGGAATCAACTAAATCCTTTAAGCTATTTTTTAATACAACAATTAATCTGGTAGAAGCATTATATGAGTTCATGTCATAAGATTTTTTTTTAAAACAACCAAACATAATGCAATTAGCAACAAATGTAGATGATTCTAATTTTGTATTACCATCAAATTTACCCAGCATTCAAAAGTGAATGTGCAAGTTCTCATATTTCACACAAAATGCCTTTAAGCAAGGAACCGTTTAAATAGTTATAACCAAGTTAGACTTAATCCAATCAACCTTGATACAATGTTCCAGTAACTAAAGATTATGATATTCACAAATATGAGAAACCTAAATCAAACTTTATCATGCAAGTGTATCAAAGGCTTTCGTGCAAACCAGTATAAATAAATACAATACAAGCTACCACATAAGATTATATGACATTTTTGTGCCAAACTTCTTATAGCTCAATTTGTGTACAATATGAAGACGCATACAATGTAAGAAACTATTTCAATTTTTAATATTTTAGGTCTGAGAATCTAATTGATTTTAAGCAATAAGTGGGATATAAATTTTAACTCGCATGGGAAGAATATAGATTATTCAAATGGAATGATATAAGAGGAGTTTTGGAGGAAGTTTATTGCCTTTTCGAGAAGTTGCTGTCGGAAGTGACGAAGATCTTGTTCTTTTCACGGGAAATGGTAACGGAGTCTCCAAGGTTACCAGCCTTGCCGCCGACTTTAATTCTCTCCTGAAGGAATTTCTCTAATGACGCAATTTCCATAATCTTGTCCTCAACAGGCTTCCCGCAATCAATAACGAATGTCGCAATCTTCTTCTTTCCCCTCTTCGCTACTGCTCCTCGACTCATCTTTGCTTTTCTGTATCTCAACAACTGAGGACAAGCAACAAGCAGTAATCAGAAAACAAAAGTGGTCTTTTTGTGTAATCGAAGACAGCTACATGCACAGAACACACGCAGATTATCATAGATGATTTAGGTACATACCTATCGGTTCCAAGAATGCGATCTGCGAAGCAGGAACTGGTTATGGAAAACGCCTGGAGTGATAACCTTTTAGGGTTTTAATTTCCCCAGGCTCCGACTTCTAGATTGGGCTCACTCAACCAACAGAGGTGTTTTGGATTTCATTTCGAAATAATTTATTCATTTATTTGGTTTTGAAAATTCAATTATTCAAAAAGAAAACTTTTGGAAAAAATATTTTTTAAAACAAATTCTCTTTAACCCTTCAATAAAAGATTTTAAGAAGTTAGACCATGTGGTATGGTGCCCACGAACGAGGTTATGGTCTAGGTGGCCACGAACTACGACCGTGCACACCATCCCGATGGTTCGTGGTTGTGGCCCTTCGTACTTCGAACAATGATTTCAAACGGCCAATCAATTCGTTTCATGCCAATCAATTTGTTTCTTAATTTTCACACACTTTCTTCTCCCTTTAGTCATCATATCTTTTTGTTGTTTTATCCTTTAAAAACCATGCCTCCCAAAATGGTCAGAAAAAGGAAGAAGAAAAATTAGCACAAGCATGGGCGACGGTTTCGGAAGAAGGCGTTGTTCAAACTTCTGGTTCTTTTTAGAGAAATATTGAAAGTGTTTTCATAGTTTAATCGGTTGTGTAATTCGAAAATGTTGATGAAATACGCTCGAAGTGGCAATATGAGGGTTAAATATTCTGAGTTCAGTGGAATTTACAATTTTGTTATAAACAATGTACACGAAGCTGATATCGATCCGGTTAATGTGGCCATAGAGTAATATGAAAACCCAAGACATAAACATTGTTGGACATGTCAAAGCTTGGCAAAAGTTGAAGAATTCCCCAAAATGGAATAACCTTGCTTAATACACAAATTAAAAGTTTGGTATTTTTAGGTTTTTAATTCTTAATGTTGTTTTTTTTAATTAATGTAATTTTTATTTTTAATGTTATTTTTATTTATTTATTTATTTTAGTTAATGTAGTTTTATTTAATGTAATTTGGTATTTTAAATTAATGAAAAACTAATATTTGAAAAAAAAAAAGTTGTATGATTTTTATGTATTTTTTTATTTAAATTTAATTAAAAAATAAGGTGAAGTGGTGTGTTTAGTGGTATGTATCTCATGGTTAGTGGTAAGAAATGTGGTGATAATGTGACACCCACCACTATAGTGGTTAGTGGTATGTATAATATATGACCTTAGAATTTATAGTCTTTCTAAATTTTTCATGAATTTTTTAGTTGTAAAAGTCAATATTAACTTAAAATACCCTTAAGAGAATAAAAATAAAAAAAAATAAAAAAAAAAAAAAAAAAAACTATTGACTTGTTGATTTTTTTCCACCATAAAAATACCAATCCAAACACTTAAAAAAAAAAAAAAAAAAAAAAAAAAAAAAAAAAAACTCATTTTCCTATCATTATAAGCCAATAAGTCATTTTGTCTAAAAATCTTTTTAAAGATCAAAATAAAATCTCAAACACCCTTTAAGGCTATTGCCTAATTCCCATGTAGTTCAAGAAAAAATATATTTATATTTTGAAGATTGCATTTAGAGTATGTCTTTATTTAACATGGGTGTTATGTGCTTCGTGACAGACTGAAGTTATTATTTTATATTGATAATGTTTTTAACTTTTTAACGTTAATTGGAAAAGCAAAAGTTACATTGCAAGAAACAACAACGTACTTTATGGTTTTGCAACTAATAGTTAAATAAGCATACGATGCTATGAATAAACAGAAGTGTTAGGATGAAATCCTTAAATATCGAACAGATTAAAATAGGTAAACAAGAACACGATATGATCAAACTAGTGTTGAATAACAGTCACGCCTCAGAAGAACTCGACAAAGAATTGCTTTCATAGAGGCGCAAAATAGGGTTACAAAGATAATATAAAAAACTTAACTAAAATACGTAGCACACATGGATCTTATATACTATAACCCTAACAGTAAATGCGAGTGGACAAACCCAACTCGTTTGTAGAAAATGGACTAAACAAGACAGGCCTAATGACGCAACACTTTATCTTCAACGATCTCCCTTTTTACGTTAATTGAGATCATAGCCCTTTAGTTATTGATTCACTTATGCACTTCGTGGATCTTTGGAATGAAGCTTAGCAGCAACTTGCGAACCTGGATATACCATGTGATCATATCAGAGAAACATTTTAAGTCATCCTTGTGGTTGCCCTTGAACTTCATAACCAGCTCCAAAATAATCTCTAGACAAGTAGTAGTATACAAGTGTTTGTCTTTAAGATGAAAATATAGCTTTTGACATTCTGCTCCTGGACGATCTCTAGACATGTACACAACAAACCATCATTCCTTGTAAATTTTTCTTGGTTTGAGCTTCTCGAAGTTATTCGAAGCTTCATTAGGAACAGCACTTGGCTTCGTCCTCAAAACTGCGACAATATCCACATCCATCGTTCCAACCTCCTGAATGTAAGACTTGATCATAAGTTGGAGATGGATCATCATAGGTTTGTACTTCTCCTTTTCTCTTAGCAACATGTTGTATAGCACTATCCAGTCATGGGGGTTCAGGCAGGGCAGGTCTGCGAGTGTGAATTCGTAGGATTAAGATGTGAAAAATGACTTGGATCTGTGTTAGTAGCTTCTTGAGTAGAGTATTAAGCACTTAATGAGAAAGTGACTTAATAGGGGGAGTACGCTGAGTGTACATGTAGGTACGCCCAACGTACACACCAATGGCTTGTACACTTAGTGTATAGGAATGTAAGCCCTGGGTAATGTGTCAGTTTGGGCTTTGCATCTTTGGGCCTCGGTTTAGGCCATGCTTTGGGTTCTTGCACCTTATTGGGCCATCAGAAGTCAGATAATATAGGCCAAGGAAATGTTTGGGCTTAGGGTAAGGCCTATTAGAGGGATTGTGCCAGATTTAGCAAATTGGCCATTAGTGGGCCACTAGTGTGCTTAGGAAGCTTACCTAGTATTAGGCCTTAGTTTTGGGCCATAGGTATGGACCAAGTTAGCTTAGGGGTAGAATGGTCATTCTACCCTATGAAGGGTTATTGAATTAGACTAAGTGATATTTTGGTATTGATAGCTCCGGGAGTCGAGGGGTCAGCAGTTCGAGGATCTACCAGCTAATAGCGAGGGGTTATTCGTAGGATTCTACAGTCAGCTTTGCGAGGTGAGTTTTCTCCAGTAGGAACAGGTCTAAGACACCAATGTCGACCCATTTATGTATATTAGTGAATATCGGATTTATATCTGATGCAGGGCAAGGCCCGAGGAAGGTTTATATGTATGTTTACGAGCTACGGTTCGATGCCAGGTGGTACCCGAGGCAGTAGTGTATGTGTAGTTATACTTGTTGTGTTTGTGATACTTGTATGTGTCTGGTAGGGAGGTGAGTGCGGCCGAGGTCCCGCATCTCATCACTAGCTGAGTATGGATGGGGTTCCATATCTCTTTAGTAGCAGAGTAGGGGCGAGGCACGAGATAGGGGAGAAGTAAGTGTGGGCGGGGGCCCATATCTCACTATCAGCAAGAGTATGGATGGGGTTCCATAACTCATCAGTAGCAGGTTAGGGGTGAGCCCCAAGTTTGGTGAGGCCATATGACAGGAATACAGTAGGGTGTGTTTGTTTATCTGTTAACATGTTTATATGATTGTATGTGTATGGTGGGCGAGGCCCAGAAACAGGATAGGCCTAAGAGAAACCGATCTATATACCGAGCGGGGCTTGATGCCGGGCGGGGCCCGACGCCGGAGCAAGTCCGATGTCGGGCAAGTCTCGATGCAGCAGGCGGGGGGACAGTATGTAACCATATGTCTAGTATGTAGTAGTATGGGGAACTCATTAAACTTCGTGCTTACGATTTTCAGTTTTGGTTTTAGGTACTTCCGGTAGCGAAGGGAAGAGCTCGGGATGATCGCATGGCACACACCAAGAAGTTTTAACCTGGGATGTTTTCACTCTGATAATTAGAACATGTTTTGAAACGATACTATATATATATATATATATATATATATATATATATATATATATATATATATATATATGTATGTATATCTTTAATTATGGTTGGTATGATTGGGTACTTATGGTTTTATTAATGTTTTAAAAAGAAAATTTTGGTCATGATTTTTGGGATGTTACATCTACTCGATGAGTTAGGGCTACTACTCGTCGAGTAGCTTTACCAAATGAAAACTTAACAACTCAATACCTACCGGGAATGGGGCGTTACATAATAACACTTAGGTGTTATCATATTTAACTTCGGGTTTTATACCACTTTGTTGTAAATGGAGTTTCAAAAAGAAAACGAAATTTAACGGGTCAATTGATAAGTTTAGATGTCTTTTGGTCATTCAAGGATTTATGCAATAGCCGAATTGAATTTTTTTTATACATATAATCCAGTAGCTTGAATTCCAACAATTAGATTGTTGCTTAGCTTAGGGGCTATTTGTAATTTAATTATTCATCAAATTGATGTTAAAACGAAAATTTTAAATGGTGATCTTGATGCAAAAGTTTACATAAAACAACATGAATGTTTTGTTACGTTGGGTGACGACATAACGTGTAAACTTGTAGACCGAAACAATCACCTATCAAATGACATTGAAAGTTTGATGAAGTTATGTTTACAAATGTTTTTGCTTTAAACTGATGTGACAAATATATTTATAATATATTTGATGTTATTGGTTCGAGTGTTATCATTTGTTTATATATAGATGATATGTTGATTTTTGTTACCAACTAAAATCAAGATGAAACCAAGAAGTTGTTGGCATCTAAATTTTACATGAAGGTAGTTGAGGAGGTTGATTTAATCCTTGGAATAATGATTACATGCATTTTTCATTTTTGTCTTTGTTACTTAAAATTTGACAAAATCAAAGACTTTTATGTTAAATTTAAAAAACATGTTTATGGTATAAACATAAAAGATTAGTAAACTTAAGAGTTTTCTTGCAAATTTATAAAACATACTTAAAATAAATACATAAAAGATTTGTAACAAAGACAAAAATGGAAAGAAAAAAAAAACTTGCCAAACTTTGGACATTAACAGATAAAAAATCTTCAAACAAAACCGATAGAATTTAACAAAGTTAATGAATAAAACACTATTTGTATTATTTTTAGATGTCATACTTTTATATTAGTGTAAAATAATAAAATTGGGTTACAGATGGTTTTAAAGGCGATAAAAATGGGTTTTTTTTCCTTATTTTTTTTGTAAGTGACAAACGTTTTTTTTTTTTTTTTTTAACTTGTAAGGGTGACAAGAAGCTACTAACTCAATAAATCATTTAAAAAAGAAATCCAAAACAACCATTTATTATTTATTTTTGAGAAAGATAATTTAGACAAACCCAAACACCTCGTAAAGTCGAAGAAGGTGAACGAAATACAATTAGGCAATAATAGGATGGTTTCAATTGCAATTTTTGAAAGCGACATTCTACCGTGTGAGAACTTGGGCCCAAAAGCGGTATTCTCCGAAGGAGAGAGAAAAAAAGGAGAAGATGGACACAGAGTGGTACAACGACGTTCCCTGCTCTTCGATCGCCGTCGAGTCCATCATTAGCGTCGGAACTGTAAGTACTCTCAAAACGCGTTTTTAAGTGATATAATACGTTAAGAGCTGAAACACTTGGAAATAAAATTAAAATCTTAAAATGGTAGGGCGGATTGATCTGGGGTTCATGTGCTGGTTCCTACGATGCGAAACAAATAGGTAAACCTACCTTATGACGTATTTGCAGCTATTGATTTGTGTTATCAGTTGCACCTTGATTTTTTACTCAATCATATATACAAATATTTGATATGTTTTGATGCTAAATTGACCCATCGATTGAGGATTTGTTGTAAAAAGAGAGTGAAGCTATCTGATTAGTAAAAAAAAAAAAAAAAAAAATCAGTTTCTGAATTGTTTGTTGTGTGAACATGATCTAGGTCTGACAGGCATTCCCCGCGCTTCTTTCGTGGTAGGTTTCTTCCCTCATTCTTTCTTATTTTAGTAGCATTTGATCTCTGGATTTGGATTTGAAGAGTTGAAAAAATGACATGAACTGTTTCCTTAATTATTTTGGTAATGATAAGCAATGCTGGTAAAGTAATCGGATTGACATGAGGGAGAAATGCAGGCAGGCATCAATACTGCAGCACAGCTTATTGTGATTAAAGAAGCAGAAATGGGTTAACTAAGTTAGTTGTATTTAATGGTTTGGTATCTGATGTACACTTGCAGGCCAAGACGGTTGGTAAATACGGGTTCCAATGTGGTAATCTCATATTTTTAAAGCAAAAGCTTAAAAGTTGTTTAATGATGATTGTGTTAAGTTTATGAGTAATTGTGGTCCGTTATTAGGACTGTTTGCTGGAATATTTTCATTTACACGGTGTGGGATTCGAAGATACCGCAAGAAAAACGATTGGGTAATTCACTCTCATTCCTATTATCTTGTTTGCAAATTGCAAGATATGTGGGTTGTTGATTTATTGGAAGTTGGAACAGGTGAATGCTCTGGTTGCAGGTGGGTTTGCAGGGGCAGCCATTGGTGCTGGAACCCGAAACTGGAAGCAGGTGGCTGTCATGACTGCTTTCCTTTCTGGATTTTGTGCCATTGCTGACCAATCAACACCACCAATCTGAACAATCAATCTTCTTCCTTCTTCAACTTCAACAACACCAACAACCTGCTGATTATTATAACATATGGTGCTCACCAATCAAAAGAGTAGATGTTATTATATTTATAGGCTATAGCATGATTCCAACTTTAGATTAGGCAGGACTGAGGAGGAGGAGGAGGAGGAGGAGGTTTAACTCAAACTATATGAAACTGTGGATTGGAACATATTGTGTTATGTTATCTCCCTGGTTAAACCCCATATTTTTTTTAATCAACAACAAAAATATTTATTTAGTTTATATGATTCTATGCTCAGCTTGCTTAATTACAATTAGGCATGCCTAACTGTACATGAAGCAGGTGAAAGTTGAAACCCTCCCCTTGGGTTTGTTTTGGTCTATAATCATATAATCATGTTATAGTTTGTGTTATCTTATGTGCACATTTCATTTTGGGTACCATGCCCTCATTCTTATCTCTTAATCAATTGTCCGTATTGTTTCCCCAACACAGCAGCTCCTACCCATTTATTTATTATTTATTATTATTATTTTGGAAGGGAACAAATTGAATCAATTCGTTATATTTGACAAGAATCAAACGTAATCTTTTTAAAGGGTTGACATTTTTTTCCCTTCTTTCCAGAAGAGACTTAGAAAACTTTTGAAGATGCAACAAACCCAAAAAATATTGTAAAAAGGTAATGAATTTTTGAGTTTTAGATCAGCATTCTGGTCAACATATCCAGCCTTCTGGTTCAGCCTGCTATCAGAAGAGAGGCCATGCTCTGGCTCTGTTACAATGTCTTCAGCATCCTAGCCCTCGGTTTACATCTTAAAAAAAATAAAATAGAAATTAGAGTAAATTACACGAATGGTTTCTATGGTTTGGGGTAATTTGCGCGCTTGGTCCCTAATTTATTTTTTTAACTCGGAAAGTCCCTACTATTTGTTTTTGTTACGCGTTTGGTTCCGTACTGTTTGTTTTTGTTACGCGATTGATCTCTGTCTTACCTAAAAAGACTTTTATTTAAATAGGAAAAAATGGTGAGATAGATAAGGTATGATGAGGGGGATTAGGATTGGGCTGTGTTTATTTAAATATTTTAAAAAATCAAGGGTAAAATAGTTTTTTAGGTAAGATAGGGACCAAGCATGTAACAAATACAAACAGTAGGAACTTTCCGAGTTAAAAAAATAAGTTGGGGACCAAACGCTCAAATAACCTTTCTAAATTCTAAACATAGATTCATTTATATTGTTGTAACCAAGACTAGAGCTTAAATTCATTTACATCTAGATTATTGTAAAGAAGCAGACATGGCATATGTATATGTTCAACTTTTGGTTTGGTATCTGATGTTCACCTGTTCCAAGACCATTGGTAAAAATGGGTTCCAATGTCACGGTTACATTTTTATTTATTATTTACGTTTTACAAGCTCTCTTAGTCATATGATTGTGTTAAGTTTATCAGCACCAAATTCTATCACCTTTGCCTTATTGTCTTCCAAAAAATTTCAAATGCTAAAGCTATCCATGAGGCATAACCTGCACTGCATATTGCGTATTTGTGTTTTGAAATAGCTGCCTGGCTAGGATGAGAAAGATCAGTGAAGTTGTGTTTTGAAAAACCTTTGTGATTGTGATTTCGCCAAACCAAAAGAGTTGGGCCTAAGATTTGATCTTCTTCTCATTCTCTATGATCAATCTATATATGATGATCATGTTATGCGCACATGCCATCTTATCTCATCAATCATAAATCATCATAGATGAGAGAGAGAGAGAGAGAGAGAGAGAGATTGTCCGTATTCACGCATGTCTAAGTTGTAACGGATGCCCACCACCACCACCGCCTCATCTCTTTAACTTTATTTCAATATATATATATTTTTTTTCTTCAAGGAAACAAATTAATACAAAATGGTTCTAAAACTATCATATTCCATGATATAATTAATTATTATTGTAATTTGATGTTCAAAACGATTAAAAAGGTTTTGTAACAAACGTGAAAATAAAAATAAAAAAAACGTCCCATTTACTTTACTTTTGATACGTTTCGATTGTCATCCCCTTTGTTTGAAAAAAGAAGTTTATTTTATGTTGTTTTCTTAGAAAATGCAATATTTGTAATTTCTACCCCTTTTAATATATTTACACATGCATTATAAACTATTATTACAAGTCTTATCAACATTTTGTTTTGTTTTGTTTTTGGATAAACTCTAGCTAGGTCTTCTTGTGTTGTAATCTATTATGAAATATAAACAAAATTAAATCCAGTGTATATCTCTATATCTATATGTAAAGGAAAAATATATAACGGGCAGGAGAGATAACAAACATTCTCCACGTCATCGTGATGGCTGCTAAAATAAAATGATGGAAACACACGGTGACAGGGCATGGGTCTGGTGTAGCGCAGAGAAAACAAGAAGAAGCAAACGTCACTCTTTTTCTCCATAACCATAACCTCTCTTTCCTCTTTTCTCTCCTTTGGCTTTCCAATTCATCCTTGCTAGCAACATTAATGGAGGTCAAGTATCAAGAGGTTGTTTTTCACTTTAGCAAATCTGGCATAAAAATCCAATCTTTTTTTTTTTTTAATCAACTTAATTAACTTTCAGGAGTACATAAGGAATTCAAGAGGAGTGAACCTTTTCACTTGCAGATGGCTGCCTGTTTCTTCTCCAAAAGCTCTCGTCTTCCTCTGCCATGGTCAAAACTCACAAAAACACAACATTCTTCAAACATTCTGATTTTCCGATTTATTAGCTAAATAATGATTCATTTTTGTGTAGGTTATGGCATGGAATGTGGTGACTTCATGAAAGGTTCTTAACACTTCATGCCGCTTTCTTTTTTTCTTCTTCTTTCTCTTTTAATCCACTTTATGTGTGTTCAATTCCTTTGCATTTCAGTTTCTCGTGACATTTTCTATATCACTATACTATTCTTCAGTTTTGACCATGTCTGCCTGCCTGCCATCATAATCGCTCCGCTCCCGGCTTTGATAATCCATTGATTCCATATTTTAACTGACAATAACAATTCTGTGTTTGTACTTTGTAGATAGATTAAACTACAAAAATATTGTATATGGGTACATAGAATCAATTTTTTCCACAGAGAGGATGATAGAGACCAGTCTTTTGTAGCTTTCTCATTAAGGAATATATTCAAGGGTAGATGCGGGTGTTCTTTCCATTGTTTTGCTGTTTTAAAAACGTTTTCCTAAATCATGAATCGACATCCATAACTAATAAACTGATAGAACCTACACTTCTCCCTTTTTGTTTATGAGAAATATCTTGCTAACAAATCTAATTACATTGTTTTAAAGAATTTGTGAGGAAGAATAAGTTGTTTGTGACTTTATATGCTCATGTGGACTGCACATTTAATTCGGAAAATTATATAAAGTTAAATGTTTGACCTTAGGCCATGGATGTAGGGAAAAGTGAGGAGAGTGTGTTGAGTACTTTCCCTGGTCTTGGACAATCCACAATTCATAGCTTAATGGTCGTGTTAGTATGAGTTGGAATATATAGTTTTGGCATATAATTAACAAGCAATTAATTGAATCCAGTTTGGAGCTTTTAGAGTAGAGTATTATTATTTGACATGGATACTGATTTTTACGGTTGAAAAGTTAGATATGATTATGAAAGTTGTAAAATAGAATAGAGAAATAGTAATTGGAGGTGTGTATGTAGGATGTGGGACGAAGCTAGCAAGTCATGGATATGCGGTGTTCGGGATAGATTATGAAGGTCATGGGCGATCCATGGGTGCACGTTGTTACATCAACAAGTTTGATGACCTTGTCGCCGACTGTTGCACCTACTTCAACTCCATATCAGGTCAGGTCAGCTCATTCATTTTCATAAATCATCATCTTTTTCTTCTCTTCACTGTAAACAAATCACCACCAGCCTCATTAATTGAATATATAACATGTTATGGACCACAAATCATGTATTATATATATGCGGTATGTGTTTGGCAAAAATAAAATGACAGGCGTTAATTTTGTTAAATTCTCAGAAAAGGAAGAATACAGGAAGAAGAAAAGATTCTTATATGGAGAATCAATGGGTGGTGCAGTTGCCCTTGTTGCACACAGAAAAGAAGCCCATTTCTGGGATGGTGCTGTTCTAGTGGCTCCCATGTGTAAGGTAGTAGGATCTATTAATTAGAAATTAATTTAGAATATTGATTTTATTAACTAGTTAATTGGTATTTCATATACATACCTAGATATCTGAGAAGGTGAAGCCCCACCGGGTGGTGATAAGCATACTAACAAAAGTAGAAGATGTGATCCCCAGATGGAAGATTGTTCCTACAACGGATGTCATCGATTCTGCTTTCAAGGACCCTGTTAAGAGAGAGAAGGTGAGTCCATTAATTACACTATACATATTTTATATTTCATGAGTGTAGAATGTGAAATTAATTAATGTGTGAATGGAATATTAGATACGCGGGAACAAGCTGATATATCAACAGAAGCCGAGGCTTAAAACAGCTCTTGAATTGCTTAGAACAAGCATGGCGCTTGAACAGAGCTTGAACCAGGTAGGTAGTAGACTAGTAGTAGTAGTAGTAGTCTTCTTGTGTTGATCAGTGTTTAATTTTGGAAATGGCAGGTGAGGCTCCCATTCCTTGTGTTGCATGGAGAAGCAGACAGTGTGACGGATCCAGAAGTAAGCAAGGCTTTGTACAATGAAGCAAGCAGTAAAGACAAGAGCATAAAGATATACCCTGGTATGTGTCATGCCTTGACCGCTGGTGAGACCGACCAAAATATCAATATTGTCTTTGCTGACATCATCTCTTGGCTCGATGCTCGATCATCATCATCCCATGCTAGACACCTGCTGCACCATCACTCCGCCATGTAAAACAAAATTCAGACTTACTTGCATATCATATCATGATATCAATTATAAAAATATTATTTACATCATACAACCATCCATATATAGGAAAGTACTCATCAGAACTGAAGCTACTAAATTAAAAAGCAATAACCATCACCATCCCTTTAATTCCCTCTATCTTTAAAATAAATGGATCTCCAAACCATATCGGTATTTGTATTCATGTGCATGCCTAAATAATAAGTAAGATCAGGAAAAAAAAAAACATCTTAAGTTATTCTATACCATTGTTCAAAATTCTATCCTTGTATGCCCAATTGCCCATTACCATTAGTATTACTTAGCACCATCCAACTGCTTGTCATTAATAACTAACTCTTCATTACAACTTTCAATTTTGTTCCAAATAAGGTTGTAAAAACTTTACAGCAATTGTTCTTGTAAACTATATAGTCATTCTTAGTTTTTGTTTCGTATGAAATAACTTCAGCTGCTTGATTGGTTAAACACTTAACTTCACAACATTGGAAATTGAAAGTTGAGCGAAAATATTTGGGGTTAACTCAGATCCTTTGTAGTCACTAGATGCATGAAACAATTGCCATGATGATTATTATTCCATCTATCCCAAAATTATTGTTCACAAATAAAAAAACACACAGATTAAGAAAATATTAATTATCATTAATTTTATTAAATGAAATGATAATTATATCATTTAGTTGCATTTAATTCTATGGTTGCATTTAATTACATTGTAGTTTTACTAATAATAAAGAGTATGTTGGTAAAAGTGATATTTATTTTTAGAATAGGATAATTATTTTGCGACAAGCCAAAAAGAAAACATGAAATATTAATTTGGGACGGAGGGAGTACTTATTATTAGTCAAGATCTATAAAATAGAATATATATATATATATATATATATATATATATATATATATATATATATATATATATTGTAGTCCAGTCCCATCTCATAGTTAGGCTAGCCCGGGCCCACAATTATTATATTATATTTGTCCATATTTAACCACTTCAAGTCTTGATTGAAATTTGAACCGCAAGTTACCAAGTCATGAAAGGAGAGATATTACCTCATATTTAATGTGCGAGTAGGAGTCAACAATCTAGGGATGAGCATCGGAATCGGATACCCGCTTTTGGAACCGGAACCGCCTTGGAACTGCTGGTTCTGGAATTGGAACTGCTTTAAGCGGTTCTAATTCCTAAAGTTATGGAACCGCCTTAGGCGGTTCCGGTTCCAATTCTCATTTTTTCGGAACCGCTACCTGCTGGGTAACTACCGAAACCGGTATATATATATATATATATATATATATATATATATATATATATATATATATATATATATATTAAGAAAATAAATATCAAGGAGTACGTACCAGGAACCAGGTGCTACATGGAGTCATTTGACCTAAAGTCTGATGATAGTTGCGAATCATGCTTACTTGGAAAAATGACAAAGCCACCCTTCACAGGTTCTTGTGAGAGGGGTGAAGGTTTGTTGGACCTTGTACACATGGATGTGTGTGGACCATTCAAACATGCAACAAGGGATGCTAATCGTTATTATTTGACTTTTACTGATGATTACAGTAGATATGGATATGTCTACTTAATCAATCATAAGTCAGAGACTTTCGAAAGGTTTAAGGAATTTAAACAAGAAGTCGAGAATCAATTGGGCAGGAACATTAAGATGCTTCGATCCGATCGAGGTGGTGAGTATCTTAGTTCAGAGTTCCTCGACTATCTTAGGGAATGTGGGATTGTCTCACAATTGACACCTCTCAGGACATCGCAGTTGAATGGTGTGGCTGAGAGGCGTAATCGAACCTCGTTGGATATGGTTCGTTCCATGATGAGTCGAGCTTCGCTACCAATCTCATTCTGGGGGTATGCCTTAGAGACTGCCACCCATATTCTTAATCTAGTCCCTACAAAGAAAGTTGCCAAAAATCCTCACGGGATGTGGACTGGTAAAGTTCCTAAACTAGACCACATCAAGATTTGGGGTTGCGAGGATTTTGTGAGGCGCGAGTCTCATGATAAGCTAGAACCCCTAAGCGAGAGGTGTATTTTCATCGGCTACCTACAACGATCCTTTGGTTACCTCTTCTACAAACCTAGTGATAATGTGGTCTTTGTAGCAAGAAGAGGAGTCTTTCGAGAGAGAGAATTTATAAGCCACGGAGACAGTGGGAGGCAAATTAACCTTGAAGAACTTCAAGAGTCAAGCGGTGAAGGAACTTCAAACCCTATCCCTCAACTTGAGGAGGAAACTCCTGTTGAGCCAATTGACGAGTCTGTACCTCTGAGGCGTTCCACGAGAGTTAGGAATACACCTGAGCATTACTATGGTTTCCATATTACTGCGGAAGGTGAGACACTTATTAGTGATGAGACACTAGTAGGTCTGGATGAACCTAACAGCTACGCGGAAGCCATGGCATGCCCGAGTCTGCGAAATGGAAAGAAGCTATGGCTAGCGAGATACAATCCATGTATGAAAATCAAGTTAGGAACTTGGTTGAGAATGTACCAGGTCGTAAGACTGTAGGGTGTAAATGGATCTTCAAGAAGAAGACCGACATGGATGATAATGTACACACTTATAAGGCTCGACTGGTTGCAAAGGGCTTCTCTCAAATTCCTGGAGTGGATTATTATGAGACCTTTTCTCCAGTAGCGAAGATTAACTCTATTAGGGTGATGTTAGCCATAGCTGCATTTCATGACTATGAAATTTGGCAAATGGATGTCAAAACCGCTTTCCTTAATGGAAAGTTGACTGAAGATGTTTACATGAGTCAGCCAGAAGGTTTTGTCAGTAACAAGTACCCTAATAGAGTATGTAAGCTTGAGAAATCCATTTATGGATTAAAGCAAGCACCTCGCAGATGGAATCTTTGCTTTGATGAAAAGGTCAAGGAATTTGACTTTTCTAGGAGTGAAGATGAATCTTGTGTTTATGATGTGACAACCGTCAAATTTCGGTCAAGTCAAAGACAACAAGTCAAACCGTTTGACTCAATTTGCCTGTGAGTACTAGAATTTACACTATGAAACTTCTACATAACTTCTATTCTAATGAGAAATCATAAAGCAAAAAGTGCGAACATCTAGATCTCCTTAACCTAAAACTGTAGTACGTGGCGAGCCAAACCGATAAAACAATGATGCATACTTATCGGGAGTGTGTAAGATCCTTAAACAAGGCTTAACAGGGTTTACGAACCATGCATTGCGATGCCGGACACTCACAATTGTCACACATGGATCCTCTCTCAATCGTTTTCACTCTATCTCTCTCTCTATGTCAAATCTCTCCCAAATCCCTCTAAGTATGTGAAATCTCTCTCAAATATCTCTCTGTATTAGAAATCTCTCCAAGAATGTCGAATTTCTCCCAAATCCCTCTAAGTATGTGAAATCTCTCTCAAATATCTCTCTGTATGAGAAATCTCTCCAAGAATGTCAAATCTCTCCCAAATCCCTCTAAGTATGTGAAATCTCTCTCAAATATCTCTCTGTATGAGAAATCTCTCCAAGAATATCAAATCTCTCCCAAATCTCTCCAAGTATGTGAAATCTCTCTCTAATATCTCTCTGTATGAGAAATCTCTCCAAGAATGTCAAATCTCTCCAAGTATGTGAAATCTCTCTCTAATATCTCTCTGTATGAGAAATCTCTCCAAGAATGTCAAATCTCTCCCAAATCTCTCCAAGTATGTGAAAACTCTCGCAAATATCTCTGTATATGAGAAATCTCTCCAAGAATATCAAATCTCTCCCAAATCTCTCCAAGTGTGAGAAATCTCTCCCAAATCTCTCTCAAAAGTTTCCCGTAACTTTTTGGAATCATTCGGGTCATTCCGACCCTTAACCGGGTCAAAAACGGCTTAAAACGGGGTAAAAACGAGAAAACGGGACCTTAGGAACCGAAACCCTTCTTAAGGAGCCGAAGCTCCTTAAGGCCGAGCCTCTGTTGGCTAAGACGCGAGGACCGAGCCTCTGTTGGCTAAGACACGAGGACCGAGCCTCTGTTGGCTAAGACGCGAGGACCGAGCCTCTGTTGGCTAATGCACGCGAGGACCGAGCCTCAGTCTCTGTCGCTTCTCACTCTCTGTTCGCTTCCTCTGTTCGCTTCTCGTTCTGCTTCTTTTCTCGCTCTGTCTCTACCCGCCTCTCTGTCTCTTCCCTACTCTCGGTCTCTGCCCGCCTCTCTGTCTCTTCCCTACTCTCGGTTTCTACTTCGCGCCCCTCTGTTCTCCTCCCTCCTCTCGGTTCCTTCCCTCTCTCTTCTTCCCTCTCGGTTTCTGCCTCCCTCTCTCTCGGTTCAGCATCAGAAGACCGAACCTCGGCCAGAATTCGGAAATTTGTCACTTTTAGCCCATTTTTGATATTTTTAACATTTTAAGCCCGTTTTTTCGTGATTTTAAAGCGGGATTTTCTCCAGAAATTATATTTTAACATAATAAACTCTAAATATTCATAATTTAAACATATTTTGATGAAAATCATTATATAAATAATAAAAATCAAATGGGTGAATTATTAAAGGTGGAGTGTTGACTTTGTCTTATCCAATGTCACAAGCAACCACCCCACACCCACTCTTTGACTAACCACACCTCCCCACCTTACCTAAGTCACTTCAATGTCCCTTACACTCAATTTACACTCATTCCCACGTTTTTAGAGCTGGAACAAACATCCTCTCTCCTCATTTTCTCTCATTTGCCCTCATTTCACTAAGTATCAAACACCACTTTCTCTCAAACTTTTCCCACTTCAATTTCGAGATTCAAGGCTGACTTTCAAGTGTTCTTCCACTCTTAGTAAGTATGATTCATCCTCCTTATGATTATTTCACTTCATTCTACTCAAATCATGAATATCTTACACAAACTCCATCATATTAATTAGCGTTAGAGCTTCGAATCTTCAAGTGATTCTTCAAGTGTTCTTGGGTTGAACACTTCTCTTCTTCAACACTTATCTACTGAAATCACTCAAGGTGAGTTCATACCCCTACATTTTTATGTTTTCTCAAGTTTTCAGGGGGGGGGGGGAATACAAGTTAAAACACTAAGAACATAACTAAATTTTTCTAACAGCCTTCATCAGAAAAGTTCAACTCCATTCACGGACTGTTTTGGGCATCTTAAACATTTTTTTTTCAAAACTGTACAAGGTGCAAATAGTTCAAGTTTTTAGCTTTAAAATGACTACTTGCACATCTCCATACGATTTTTCTACAATTTATGGTGATTTTTACAAACTGCCTATCATTTCAAACAACAATCCGGACCAGTCTGTGATTATGGACTTTTTCACCCAAGTTGCGGGTCATTAAAAATCGTGATAAAAATTATGAGTAAACTAGACACATTTTGTGAACTCTCAGAATTTACGGATCTAGTTTTCGACTTCGTATGATTTTTCTATGATTTTTCCAAAACAGGGCAGAATTGCTAAATTTAGCCAACAGCATGTAAATATCATAACACTTTGTAATATGTTGAGCAAAGTGTATAATCATAAGTTCTAATTATTGAATGTGTTTCTTTGTTAGTTTATCCCCATGAACTGAAACTAAGTCATTCATAATAAATATTATTCATT